TCTCATTTTGACAGGAGAGTATGGAAACTCAGTGTTAAAGGGAGAGATAGATAATTAGCAATCTCCCCCTTAAATTCACACTCTTCAACTACAGGTGCTACTAATCTTCTTTCCAGACACAAAACAGGAGTATGGAGAGTGGGAAAGCTGGATGGAAATGAGACAGAGAAATCCCTAGATTGGCTCTTTACCCCTGTTGGACCCAAGCAGATCTCCACTACCTCATCCTACATGACTACTGAGGATGTCTCCATCCACATCCATACCAATCTGCACTGATCTGGAGTAATTTCTCCTCCTTTCCTTGATTCCAATGATGATAAGCCCTACAAAAGATCTATGGACAGATAATCAAACAGCAGATTATGGAAACTGATCTCTTGGTAGCCAAACCTTGTATTTTCCCTATATTTGTACTTTTTTAAGTGTTTCCCTCCTTCTGGTCCCTTTCCTCATTGTCTTGCTTTAGGACTACTCCTCTCCTTCCTGCTACCTATCATTTTCCTCTTCAGTGACTACCCTACCATTTTCCTTGTTTAGAATTGGGCTAGGGCCGTGGTTGGCAAACTGTGGCTCACGAGCCAGATGCGGCTCTTTGACCCCTTGAGTGTGGCTCTTCCACAAAATACCACAAAATACCACAAAATACCACAAAATACCACATGCAGGCGCACATGTACAGTGAGACTGAAATTCCATGGCCCATGCGCAGAAGTCAGTATTTTGTGGAAGAGCCACACTCAAGGGGCCAAAGAGCTGCATGTGGCTCGCAAGCCGCAGTTTGCCGAGCTGCAGTTTGCCGACCACTGGGCTAGGGTGAAACATACAGATAGGAAAATCAGATGGGAAGTTAGAAAAGCAGATGTTACCCTTCTGTAACCCCAATGCTTATGAAGACTCCCAACTAAATTAGCAGTGGATCCAACAGGGGTTAGTAAACTGGTAAAACAGAAGGGATATAATTCTCTAGTCCCTCTACCATCACACCAATCTTAACAGACAGGGCACTTTTCTCTTCATCATTTCCTAGCTTCAAGTTGGGTTACCATTTATAAACCTTCACAACTGAGAGTTCTACACACTTAGAGAACACAGAGATTTACAAATGCAGAGATAAACAAATGGAGACACAGGACACAATGGAGACTGAGTCCTTGGTAGAGAGCAGCATCTAGGACACCAATGCCTTCTTGATACGGATACTTTTTCACCAAAATTTTCCACCTCCCCTTCTCCCAAATCTCCAATCTTCTCTGCTTCATTCCCCAAATCTGACAACCCAAACATCCCTGCATGATAGCGGTGGTGTCAATAGGGATGGAATGCTCAGCCTTGGAAGTTCGCTGGGAAATCAATGAAAAGTATTATTTTCAAATTTCATCTAAGTTCTTATGTTTTCATACTCTCCCTAAAACCTATCAGTTGCTTCAACACAATGAGAGTATAAAGGACTGTTCGGAAAGCTGGCAAATAGGAGATCTGGAGTTTCCCCTAGACCCCTACCTGCTCTAGTCTTAGCTATCTACCACCTTCAAAGCACTGCCCACTCAACAAAAATTAGGCTAATTTTTTTTTCTTATCCCGTCCCTTCGAGGTCCTCTGCCCCCTACAGATTACAGAAGCATGGAGTACCGCAAACTTAGAAACAGACGTACACATATAAAATGCATTGATATGCATCCAGAGACCACATTAAATGACGGTGAGAGAGACTTGGTCAGACTAGTAACCAGGACATGAGACCCTTTTCTAATTCAGGACCTTGATTATCAAACACTTCAACCTGCATTTACCCTCTCTTCCTTCCTGGGCTCTCCAGGCAAGTCTTCTTACCAATAGCTGCAGCCCTTCCTCCTATTGTATAATCCGCCACTTCTCCACTAGAAACTGCTATTATATTCCTTTCCCTTCCCAAACACGGTCGGAGGTTGGGTGGGGGTCTGAAAAATCACACTAACAAGAGACATATCATTTTAACTTTATCGTCGTGTGGCGCTCAAATTACCTCCGTCCCTCTATCACTCTCACCGCCCACGCCTCATGACCAGGTCACGTATTCCACATTCATCTCTGATATTCATATCCACATTCCCAAACCATACCCGCCTTCTCACTGACCTGCTCTGCTTGGATCAGGGGCAGTTTTCTCATTTCCTTGCCTCAAGGGGTGCCGTGCCCTACAGAAAGAGGGAAGGACAGTCAGATGGACACAAGGACACGAGACAATGGCGGCGACTGTGTTTGGGGATTGGTCCCGCGCCTGGGACGAGATACCTGCTTTATCAGATTAAGGGCCGTAATTGCCAAGCAATAGTCACTTTTGGGCATTTCCCTTTCCTTCTCATCCCCAGGGTTCCTCAGAGACCCGCTCCTAGTGACTAAATTAACTACCTTTCCCTCCACAGGCTCTGCCTTGTCTCGTCTCCAATACCAAAGTCGACTGCGGGAGGAGCTAGTGTAGTTTAAGGTGATCCGGCCAAATGAAAGCGGATTGATACCAAGCTGTGCAGAACGCCACTTCTCCCTCTGTCACTGACTTCCGTCCCGCCTACCACGGCTGTTTCCGGTATTGGAATGTGCAGCGGCGGGAATCTGGATATAGAGAAAGCAGCGCTGGATGGAGAGAAGCAGGCTTATGTCAAAGGGTCTAGGTATTAGTTCCCCTCTTTTAGGAGCTCCCCCCCAGCAAGCCTACATCCCCCCGCCCTGTAGTGTTCGCGGGTTTCGGGCGGTGACGTCAGTGAACCGGTGACGTCAGTGAACCAGCTCCGCCTGACTAGGCGGATGGATACCAAAGTGTCGTATTTACACATTCATGCCACCAAAGCGCCGTATTTACAGGCTCACATCACCAGGTCCCCCGGCCCACGAAAAAGGGCAGGTTGAGGAGGTAAGGTTGGAGAGAGGCTTCAGACTGAGAGGAGGATAAATTCTAACCTATTTCAAAACTGTACGTCCCCTCTTTGAGAGAAGCCCTCCCAGGCACTCATTTTTCTACAGGAAATGGGGCGGGGCGTCTGGAAAGCTGCTCTGGTCTGATTGTTGATCAATATCAAACATCGTAGTCTTGTTTCTCTCCAAAGTCTCTCGCCCTTGTTGCTTACCAAATTTCCTACAGGGAAAGAATCAAGGTAAAGGTGGGATAAGGATATAGGGGGAAAAAAATGGAAGAGAGAAGCATATGAATACCAAACTACCCTTGTGTGTACATGTCCCATTCTTATGTTCTGTCTCCCTTCCTGATGCCCACGATATGTTTCACACTTAAATATGTGGGAGCTCGAGCGTGGGCAGGAGGAAAAATAATTCTGTACTCATGGAAGAGGATTAATACTCAAATATCTTTGTGCCCATACCCCCCCCCCCCCACAATCTCATAGTTTGCTTATCACCTACAATGGAGGATGAAGTAGAACAGAGGTAAGCAACTACTAAAATGAGAACAGATTAAATGCTAAAGTATCCCATTATCCCATTGTGAGCCCCTTCTAGGCCTGACCCACCACAGGTTCTGCACCTTCAGGTGGGTAGAGGACGTGTCAGGAAGGCAGGCTGAGAGAGGAAAGGCAATTTAAGGCCAGACTCTGGAGGTTCTGGGTGGCCATCCCAAGTTCTTTCACTGTTCAGGGGGCCACAGTGGGGAGGAAAGTGGGAGGGAGCTGCCATGGAGGTCAACTATTTTTCTGTTCGTTTATCTGTAGTATTTTGCAAATTGCTTTAAAAATGTTTTAGAAGACTTTAGTGATATAGGGAAAATTCCAAAGAAATGATGCCAAGTGAAAAAATATTCCGTAAAACAATCTTATCCCGATGATGTTATATGGGTATAGAGTATGTATAAAGAAAAGCAAAAATCAGCAATGAAGATTGTGCTCATGATTTGGATTGTGAGGGTTTTCCCCCTTTGGTTTTTATAGTCTTCTGTATTTTCAACATTTCTATAGTAAGTATATTATATTCATGAAAAATTCAATGCCATTTTTAAAAGAACTCCACTGTAGATTTTTAAAGATTATGACAAAATATAGACAGCATAAAATTTACCACTTTAATCATTTTAAATTGTACAATGCAGTAGCATTATGTATGTTCGCAATGTTGTATAACCATCATTATCTAGTTTCACAAATTATTTACAAACCCCATATTATTAAGCACTCGTGCTCATTCTCCCTCCACCCAGGCCCTGGCAACCATATATCGGCTTTCTGTCCCTGTGGTTTACCTATTCTAGATATTTCATATAAATGGTTTTTTCACGTAGCAAAGTATTTTCAGGGTTCATCCACATTTTAGTGTGTGTGTTTTTAATTGTGGAAAAAAATCACATAACATAAACTTACATTTTTAACCATTTTAAAGTGAACAATTCAGTGGTATTTAGTACAATCAAATTTTGTACAACCATCATCACGATATAGTTCCAGAACATTTTCATCACCCTAAAAGATCCTATATCCATTAAGATGTCATGTTCCATTTGCATTTTGCTCCTGACCCTGGCACACACTAATCCACTTTATATCTATGGATTTTCATACTTTGAATGTTTCATATAAGTGGAGTCATACATTATATGGTCCTTTGTAACTTATTTCCTTCATTTAGCGTAATGGTTCATACACGTTGCATTAGGCATTCCTTGCAAAATGCCTTTGTGCCAGGTCCCATGCCTGCTTCTGTGGGCCACTAGGTAAAGCACATGACTGAGTCACACTGTCTCCAAAGGGCAATCTCTGGAAGCACTGTGTGCCCATTTTCATTAGAATCTATTGACAAACTGCCCATGTAGTCAAGACTAATGTGTCTGCTAGAGATTGCCAGAGTGAATGGGTGAGCTGGGGATGGAGAGCGAAGGGCCTTTCAGTCCTGGACCCATTGCTCATGGTTGGGCACAGGAAGAGAGATCCAAGACACATAACATAGAATGTGTAACTTCACTCTTTATTATGAAAAAGAATAAAACAACAACACAACCACAGTGATCATGAATGGGAAGAATAAACAGAACAAATGACACTTCAGGTGGTTAGGTAACTTTGGCTTCTTGGTCAGCCAGGCCTCCAGGCCCAGTCATGGGTATGGCCTTAGGCAGGAGAAAAGATAAATGATGTGGATGAAGACAAAGATGACATCCAAGAGCTCTTTTTAAGAAATTTGTTTGAAGGCCTCCTCTGGGATCTTGCCCTGGGTCTGGAGAGGAGTCAAGGTGTCAGAAGAGCCAGCTCCCTGAGTTTTATTCCAGGGCACCAGCCTTCATGTTCTTGGCCTCCCCAAAGGCCCAAAAACATCTATGTTTAACCCAATTGATGCCCAGACCTCACCTTGAGCGTAGCGAAGACCTGAGCAGCTCTGATGTAGTTCCACTCATTGTCCTGAAGGCACCTGGAGTGGGAGAAGATCAGGTGATCTCCATTAGTACCACAGTACAGACACGCTGACCATGCAATGCCACCACGAAACCTATGCCACTAAATCTATGCTGGGACACATGTACCAGAATGAGCACTATGTGCAAGGAGGAAGAAAGACCTGGTGAAAACCAAAACGTCTGTCACTAGCATTCATTCCCACTAGAATCCAAAACAGAAAAACAGATCTTCAAAAGAACAAGGGAGCTTAATATATATTGATAAAGAAAGATGTTCAAGAAAATAACAAATGTAAATTTTAAAATACAATTTTTCAATCATTTTTAAATTGGTTTATGATGTACATACTGTAGTGTTCATCATTTTAAGGTGAAACATCCACAATTCAGTAATTTTCTAGTATATTCACAAGATTTTGCAATCATCAGAATTCTGAAATCTAACACCAAGGCATTTTTATCGCCATAAATAAAACTCCTTACCCATTAGCAGTCATTCCCTAGTCCCCCATTTCTCCAAACCCTAGTAAACATTAATCTGCTACCTGACTATATGAATTTTCCTATTTGGGCATTTCATGTAAATGGACTTACATAATACATGGTCTTTTGTGTCTTCCTCTTTCACTTAACATAATAGTATCAAGGTTCATCCAAGTTATGACAAGTATCAGAACTTCACTCTATTTTATTATTGAATAATATTCCATTGTATAGATATACCACATTTTATTTATCCTTTACTAAATTGATGGACATTTAGGTTGTTTCCACATTTTGGCTGTTAAGAATAATGCTCCTGTGAGCCTGGACAGCATGGTTCAGTGGTTGAGCATTGATCTCTGAACCAGGTCAGAGTTCTTTTCCCGATCAGGGCACATGCCTGGGTTGTGGGCTCCATCCCCAATGTGGGGCATGCAGGAGGCAGCCAATCCAGGATTCTCTCTCATCATTGATGTTTCTGTCTCTCTCTCCCTCTCCCATCCTCTCTGACATCAATACAAATATATTTTAAAAAAAGAATGCTGCTGTGAATATTTGCATACAATTTTTGTGTGAACATGTTTTCAATTATCTCGATATATATTCACTAGAGGCCTGGTGCATGAAATTCATGCATGGGTAGTGTCCCTAGGCCTGGCCCGTGATCAGGGCTGATGGGGGCCTTCCAGCTGACAGCCAGGGCCTCCCTTCGTTCCACACCACCCCGATGGTCAGCGCAGGTCATAGAGAGCAATAGGTCTCCCAGTTGAACTCCCATAGGAACAATTTGCA